CTTACTATTAAATTTTATCATAGATCCTAATAAACTGCTTTATTTCCTTGGTACCCTGATGCATTTTTTCTTTCTGTAGCTTTCAATTTAGTGGCCCCTTTCCTAAAAAATTGGCCCCTAAAAAAGATCTTCAGGGGCCACTTTGGCCCTCAAGTAAAATTTTCTGGCTGAAAAACTACTGATGCAATGTCCATGGTTAAATTCTCATTTACTTTCTTTTGTTTTGTGTAATTTTGTTTAAATTTCTCTTATAGTAGCTTTTTTACTTCCCCCATTCAAAAAAGAAACTACAGAAACGAAAAATGACTGAGGCAAGTGCCTCAGTGTGCCTCATACTGGCTACGGTCCTAATCTATTACACAACTAAGTTAGTCCAGAGGGCCAATAAGTTAAAAATCAACGAATCAGACTGCTTCATTGCTGGTCCAATATTCTCTAAGTATTGGACTGGGCACTGTCCCAAATGATTCCACATGATCACTCTTGAAGATTCCTTGTGTTGTTTTATGGCTTACGTGTCTGAAAGAACTTACTGATAGTCCTTTTCTTTTTCTTCCAACCCTCTTCTCTTCTGGTTTGTTGAACATCAGGCGAGAGTTTTCACCTAATCAGCTGCAACCAGTATTGTGCACTTTTTTTCCAGTTCATTATCGTGGCATTTATTTTTTTTCTCATTTTCAAGTTTATGATAAGTCTCTTACATATTAACCAGGCTTGCTCAGGACCATACAATGATATTGGGAGCATATTGGCCGTCGGTCTTTTTGGTACAGACCTTGCTACGCTTGGTCCATACTGTCAAGACCTTATGAACACGTTCATCTCTTTCTTCACATAATTCTCTACAGCCTCTTGCTGATTTAAATCAATGGTTTTAATGTCCAAGCACTTTTTGAAAGGCCATGCTGGTATGTGGTATCACTTTAAGTCTCTTGCAAAATTTCTGTGGGTCCAATTTCACAATTTCTGCTGTGATTAGGCTAGGTGAATGACCCTGTGTTTCAGCAGATGTTTGTGGGGGAGGAAGATTGCATGGTGCGCTCAAAGAGCAACTGTGTAGGAGGCTAGAAAACACAATGCACAGTTGATAACTTTTCCAGAGAAATATTAGTTTACTGTCAGATAACAGGGATAACATGATACGACAACACAGCAACTGTGATCTACACTGTTCATCAGCCAAAATTGGTTTAATCTATAGAACTTCTTTCTTACCATGGTATGATTTCAGAAGCTTCGATTGCTTTTGAAGAAAACTGATCGAAATGCCTTTTTTTCAAAATCTGAATAGTTAACCTATAATTCTTAAAAATTATTGTCCAAAAAACTCTCAGTGGCTTTTCTGTGCATACAGTTTAGTCTTTGAGATTCTAAAAGAATAGAGTGACTGGACCTACAGTACTGTAACTGTGTAAAATTGTGTTTCTGTAACTTGATAGAAACACAGAACTAGAATGATAATGATGGGGCGGGCAAAGAGAATTTACATTGTGATGATCAAAGTAAACAAGTTGTTCCCTTTTCTTCATTGCAAGATTTTCTAAATGAAATAGAGAACACGTCCTCCTTGTTTGTGTCAAGTTTTAGTAGACTTCTACTAGTATACTAATGCAAATGCTGTAATCTGATTGGCTGAGCCATTGAACACCATCAGCCATTAGTGTGCAGTGGCTGGAGGTCAGCTACTAAATGGTGATGTTTTTTCTTTTTTCGTTTTTCCAAAGTATTGGAGGAAAATTTTGATCCAAATGCACGAGAATGCTAAACGAAGGACATTTACGGTTTCTTGACTTTAAAAAAAGTTGAAATTATTGAAAAAACTGATGCGCATGAGCACACAACTTCAATTTTAAATGAAAATTCAATCCCAGCAATCTTTTAAGGCACAAAGTTTAATAATACGTCGAGAAATAATTGGAAACTGTTGTTTGAAGTAAATTTTAGTAAGAATTCTACTACTAAAACTAAAACAGTAAGATTATTCGCTCTCGATTTCTATGAGGTGATAGTTGATGAGGACGAGAATAATACGTCGAGAAATAATTGGAAACTGTTGTTTGAAGTAAATTATAGTAAGAATTCTACTAAAACAGTAAGATTATTCGCTCTCGATTTCTATGAGGTGATAGTTGATAAGGACGAAGGCCTCATCAACTATCACCTCATAGAAATCTGGAGCTCATAATCTAATTGTCAAATAGAAACACTTGTGGAAGTTTGGCAGAAGTCAAAAAAGCTGTGGAAACACTTGCCTGTTGGCTCATGTTCTCACAGCATATCTTGTTCTCCCAAACTTCCACTCGTGCCTCTATAGCTCGAAAGAAACATGGAACCTTATAAACCATGAAATACTTTAAACATTTCTGGATTGGTTGTTGTGTTGTCAGTCCAATCAGAGTCAAGATGAAACTGCAGATCTGGAGTAAATCACTAACTGTGAGAACTGAATATTATTTGTGTAATACTTACTCAGTCTGAAAGCTTTTTCAAATCATCATAAATCATAAATAAACATTTTGTCCTTAATCTTAATTTACACAGCTACACTACAGTACT